GCCCCCCCCGCCATCTCCTCCCTGCTCAGCGGCAGGACCCTGGTCGTGCTGGGGGAAGAGGAAGCCATAGTCAAGAAGCTCGTGACGGCGCTCTCCATCTTCGTGCCAAGCTGCGGCGCTTACGCCAAGCCTGTGAAGCACTGGGTCACTTCCCCTCTGCACGTGGTGGATTTCCAGAAGTGGAAGCTGATTGGGCTCCAGAGGTAAATCGAGGCTCCGTTTGCTTTGCCGGTGTGGAGGTGTGTGAGATAAACTTGGTCTCCGAAGCGGGAATTTCAGAGGGGAATCGGCGCGCGGGGGAGGTCGCTGGCTAATTATCTACACGGCTGCCCTGAATTTCTGTTTACGGGGTGTATTTGTGGAAGGGGGGTACATTTGTCTGTCTCTTTATATCCCGCCTCACCCGAGAGTTAATATTTAAAACACTCGCTGCCCGGCTCGTAGAGGCCATCTGGCCAGGAGGTTTCCCTCTGGTTTAGGTCTTAGCCTGGCAAAGCCCAGAACAAACGCTGGAGTCCTGCTCGTTGCCTGGTCGGCCCGATGCCGGAGCGCTCCTGGAGTCCCCTTGTGTCCTCCGCTTACCCGGTCTCCTGCCAAAACTCTTCCGGCGTTTCTAGCTGGAGTTGTGTTTTTGAAATGGGTGCTTTGGTCTGCGGAGGGCTTTTCCGTGTGGCCCCCGGTGACGAGACGGCGCGCTGTTGGTGAGATCGGTAGGTCAGAAATCGGAGCGCTGGCTCCCTGGGCTGCGTTGGCGAGGGGAAGGGCAGCGGCGCGGAGCCTGCGGAGCTGCCGGGCTCCCTTCGAGGGGCTGCAGAAGGCCAGAGACTTCTTTATACCAAGAAACAGTCTGCGGAGCTCGGCGTGGTGGGATTGCGGTTCAGATGCGAAGGAAACTTCTGCTGGGGGTGAGGACCATCGCGAGAGCGAGCACCCCTTCCCCCTTGCCCCGTCCTGAGACGTGGCTTCACAGTTTATATCAGCAGACAGCGGTTGCTCGGCTCACCAGATCCTGGCCCTGCCTTGGCTGGTGTTAGGAGTTTCTGTGCGTGTCACCGGGATGCGTTTGGTGCTCCGGGTGCAGGCGTGGCAGGGAATGGCCTTTGCTGTCACCAGTGTGGAAAACAAGCGT